GTGTCCCCGGCGAGGTTCCATAACCGTCAGCTCGGTAACTGCACAACATCTGAACGTATATCCAAAATGCAGGATGGGTGAGATCTGAAATAAACCACCACGCTTCATCATGAAGCTTCTCAGAAGCATCAACTTTTTTCAACAGTGATTCAATATTAATAAACATTACAAGTCACAAGCCTGACACGGCAGCAGCTGCAATACTTCAGCACGAGGAGAAAAAAAAAGAGAGATGCAAAATATAAAAAACACAATTACGTGCACTAGTAGGATGACAGGGAAGGAAGATGATGTAGAATTTACAACAAATTCCTACAGAAATAAGACAGCACGCACATTTAAACTCAGAGTAGCAACAATCTTTTGATAAAGTGATGATCGTATAATTCTCTATTCCAGGGGACGCATTAAAAATTCTAATTTAAATCTAACTATTTATGAATAACTATTTACACAGGAAGTACAAGCAATTTCAAATTAACATGTGGACACAGAAAAAAAAATCCTCTCTGGAAAGCACTAAGTTTTGTGATGCAGTTGTCCTATTTCTAATCAGCAGGATGTCCCAAGTTAGAAGTAAGGTCCTCACGTGAGCATGGATTATGTCAACGCAAAAGATTTGACATTTCTTTTGCAGGATTTGCAGCTGGACCTTCATCCTGCTACAAGCACCAGTCAGAGAACGGCTGGCCAGGCCGGGATGCTGCTGAGGCCTCGGGGCTCCACACAGGAACGCTGGTTCCACCTCCTCCGAGCTAATGTCCAAAATCTGAGACCTCGTACGTTCACTGCATTTAAATACTAACCCCTATTTCTGCACTGAGTACAGGCAATGGGGATGTAGGTAGGAGGCAGCTGAGAAAGAAAGGGGACTTTTTCTAGATGAGAAATCATCAACAATTTAGCATCTTCTAATGATACAGGCTTAACTGGCCTACCTGCAATAAACACTCGTGATCCTTTTTGACTGCATGGAATTAGAATTTTCTGTATACCTGCTGGAATTTTTCTGGAGATACTGATAATGCAGGATTATCTTGAAGATAAAACAATCATAGAATCATAAAATTTAAAAAATCAAATTCATGGCAATCCATGACTCCAGAGAAATGCATGCAGGTGAGAGAGATACTCCCTCTTTCAGATAAACCACGCAGCGTTCTTCAGTCAGGTGGAAGGAACTAAATATTCTGCAGTTCCACAGATGAAGCGTCGGTTGCCTGGCTCCACGGTGTGACCGTGAGCTGCACAAACCAGATCCGGACCTCGTAACGCCACTAGCGGGACTGCTTCCTCTCCTCCCTTATCAGCTTCCTCACGACTGCACCCAGTTCAGCACAGACGGGTGCATTTACCTTGAATAACCTATTTGTAAATACTGTTGACAGAATATTTTATTTTCCAATGACCTAATGCAGTGGAATGAAGTGAATGGGCTTTTGGGAAATACATGTGGGATTTCTGAAAATTTCTTTCAGTAGGACGCTTTAGAACGTCTCTAACCAATACAGTCCACAGTAAAGAATGTCAAAATGTAATTAAATAGCTCAGACATTTTTTTCAATGTCTGATTATTCAAAACCGGAAGCAGCTGTATGGTTATGAAATGTAAGTAATCCTTTATAAATTTTAAAAAATGTCCAATAGCCAGGAAATCAAACATATACTCAAACCCTAATTCCCTGATAATGACATAGCAAATTCTTCTTGAGCTACAAACCAGACAACTTTGGGTTTCAGTGGTGGATGGGGTCTTCCTCTGCAAATTCTTCTGGACGCTAGAGTGGCACGTTTGGTCCTGTTCTAACTCACAGGCTCATTTACTGCTCACCTGCCAATCACTGCATTGTTATTAACACACGCTACAACTATTTGTGTTTAAAATTACTTGCTCTTCAGTCTTAAAATGCAAACTTACTACTTTGTCTGTCAGGCTTTGAAAGAAGATTTTGAAGTCCCTCATGTGGAATGCCCAAATACCATGAGCACACCTGTTTTTTTCTCCTGCTAAAATTCAATACATTTTCCCCAAATAACTAAAAAGTCACTAGCCAGATCAATTCTTAATACCTGTTGAAAACGGCTCTGGATATCCAACATGAACGACTTTACAATTTTAACTCTCTGAAGCTATTATATACATTACTTCATTTAGTATTCAGAACATATGTTTCATAAATAAGCAGCATGGCTGGAGCAAAATGAAGATTAAGAGCTCAGACTTTGTGTAAATTCCAAATATTTACTAGCGGGTGCACAATAGTTCAATGTTCTCCCCACGGATCACATGCAGAATGGCATATTTTCTTCCCTGCAGTCTCAGACCCGCAACGATGGGCTCACCGCATTCTGCCAGCAGCATTTACTTTTCTACCTGCCTGGGACAGACCCCAGACCAGGGCATCGTCTGCAGAGACCCGTGAATACATGCACCCCTGAATTTCACTAAATTCAGATGAAGAAAAGTAGAGGAGAAAAAAGATGCGGAGGTGGCATGGACACACAGATGTTTCCCAGTGACTGAGAAAGTTAGCATCCATACTCACATGCGAACAAAGAGCGACTGTTTTGCTGCCAGGCCGGGAGAAGAGTACTTTTCAACCAGCGCCAAAGTGCTGAAGCCAAACTTGTGAATGGGCTCGTTGGAGTCCAAGGGTGGAAAATCTGTGTCGACCTCACCGTCATCCTCAGCAATATGGAGACAGTAGGCATTGACGTTGTCGCTGAAACAAAGACAAAACGCATTAATTCAGGAGGGAAGCCAGACAACAGATTCCGTTCAGCCGATCAATGCTGCTTGCTAAATGCTGCAGAAAACAAACCAGCAGACACGCCTATTGCAGGAGTCATACACTTAAAAGCCCCTGATGGCACGTATATAAATATGTCCCAACAAAGCCCCAACGTATCTCACTACCATAACCATGTGGTAATAGAAAAAACCCCAAAACCTCAGAGTAAAGCAGTGAGTCCTTACTTCATCGTTGACTGAACTGCGAGCAAAGACTGACAGTGATCAACACACACCAAAGTCCATGAAAGTTTCATGGCTTCACGAAGCTGGAAGCAATATTTCTCCATTTGTGAACATTTATTTATTTATATGGCCATTACATTTCAGAATTAAAGACAAACAAGCAATGTCTATCTATTTCTTCATAGATCAAGCAACTGGGGAAAGCTTTACTGAATGTAGGCTTGAAAAGCTGAGAAGGCTCTCGGGCAGACAAACTGTGTTCAACACAGTAGCCACGACGAGTGGAAAAGCTACCTTTTCTAAATATGTAAGAAGTCCAATCACTAAAACAGTTAAAAATGAATATAGATTAACAAGCAGAACTAAATAACACAAAGTTTTAAACAGATACATTGTGAAGAAAATATGAAAAAAATCTAAGCCTCTTTCCACAAACAAAAGCCCATAGGGAAATAACTATCTATATATACCAGAGTATTAATCATATTTTCCTAATATTAAAATCTATTTCAAATGCTTATATTTAAATTATTGAGCTGAAAATAAGTATTCTTTCTTATTGTAAATGCATCAGCATTTGGGCATTTTCCGCAGCCATGAAGTATAGCTTGAATGTTCACGTGGCAGTGTGTTTCTAAACTCTGCAGTTTAAATTTGGAGTTTTAATTGCATGATTGATGCTTAAATTAATTAATTGCAAAGTGTATGCTAATTGTTTAATTGGTCGCTTGATCTATATAGATCATTTTTTGAATTAAATGAGTTGATTTACAAAGTTTATTGATTGGATGTGACAATGAATTATTTCACTGACTACCTGATTTGCAATTTTCTCAATTAATTCACAAACCTTTGGTTGCAACTGTGCTTTATTGAGAGTGCTTAGTCCAGGTGATCTATACGCACCTTGTCACAACTAAGACATTTATTATATAAACCAGGTAACAATGATGCATTACTAATAACGTAAGCTGTAAATTTGCTAACGAAAAGGTAATCCAGCAATGTTTGTGACTATGAATTTTGAAAACTCTGCAATACTATTAAAGAAACCTTCATGAGTCTCCAGACTGTTATGAAGAATGGGAACATTGCTGCAGAATTCATTTTTAACTTCTTCAAGAGCTTCAGTAACTTTTAGGGAAGCAGCTGAAAGTTAGCGCTGGGAAGAGAATTCCTACTGCCCCAGGGCCCGGGCGACCAGAGAAAGCCTGCCCCACAGCCTGCCCCACAGCCTGCCCCACAGCCCGCGCGGTTTGCATGGGTGCCAGTCTCTTTAGGAACAAGCTAAACAAAAAGGCTGCGAGTAACAGAGATACAGCTGATCCTGCTTATGTAGTGAGAAATGCCTGGCATGATTTCCGGGCCCTTCTCTGATTCTATTTAGATTTCTAGAACTACAGACACGAGCACAGCCCTGCATGCTCCTTCTGTCCAGTTCGACGTAACTCAACAGCCACCCCACACCACGGGACTTCCCAGCCTGAACAGCCACCCCACGTCTGCCTTCCCCCGGCTGCGGTCTGTGCCGTACGCTGCTGATGTGCTAACCCATTCGCTTGACAGAATTCTTCACTGCGCAGCCTGCTGTGTGCTTAAAGCTCTGTATAAAGTTAACATTTTCATTTGGTACTTGATGCGTTTGCATAATTCTCATTAAAGCCAGAGGAACGTATAGACATGCAGGCAAGAGAACACATTCAGTGCCGTCTCAAAGCAATCCAAGTGCCAGAAAAAGGTGGTGGTGACAACAACTTATCTTCCACCAATTATACTGAAAATACACAATGTCGGTTAAATCCCATCCATTAAAGGGGTTACAAAAGTCTGCAAACATGGAGTGGGTTCCTGAACATTAACACAGATTAAGTCACAATCTCCTGAAAGACCAAGTCCAACGGGGAATACTGCTCTGCATTTTGAGCCTCCACCAGGATGAGATCAAAGCCCAGAACTTTAGGCTTCAAATGACAAGGTGCAAAGTCTTGAGAATTCGAGTTTGCTTTGGACAGAATATAAAAGTTAAGTACAACTGCCAGATGTAACAGCATTCTTAGCTTCTAAAAATAGGAAGTTTATTTGAATTTTGCATCGCACTATTAATTTATTCCTAGGAAGGGATTTTGTTTACTTTTTGCAGGCGGAATCAATACAGCACATCTGTCAGGGGTTGGCAAGAGAATGGTCCAGTGGGGTATGACCACAGTTCATGTGTAAGAGGCCAGGAACAGGGCTGCTAACACTGTCAGTGGTTCCTCATATCAAGACACCAAATAAAGACAAATATAATTATAATAAAAAAGGCAGCCTAACTGAATACAAAACGTTCTCAAAGCTTTCAGCTAGCACTCACTTATTTCAGACTCTTACATCTACCTTTTATGGAAAAAGAATTTGGAGTAATATACCCTTTTCCTAAAGACAGAGGGGTTGTTTCTCTTAATTACAAAGTCTACAACCTCCTCATTATTCTCAAATTGTGTTACTAGTAGGTATATTTGTCTTTCTGCATGCCTTGTATATCAGGTTTGAAGCATTCTCTATATGTATTTTAGTGCAGTGTCACAACGATCCCGATTTGTTCTTGTTCTGCTCTAAACTGACTAAATCAGGAACAAATAGCACATGTGGAATGTGCAACCTACACAAGCTCTTTCCTCATCTGGGAATGAGGAGAATTAGTCTACAGTTAAATCAGTCCCTGCTACAGGACAGGCAGTCAGCAATGCTAGAAAAAGATGATGGAGATGTGAGAAATAATTAAGAACTACACAAGAAAACAAACTTCTTGTTGTATCGAGACTCTGCCCCTTCCTCCAAGCACGAGTACCCAGATTCTCAGTTGCTGCTGCTTGACTGTTCTTGGGAACGCATGCCTCCATTTTTTACGTTATTATTTCTGTCCTGAGATTTGATTACATTAGACAGCCTCCTTGGTCACGATCACTCTTTGACACATCATAACATCTTATCCTTCAAGGCAGACAGTGAAATTCATTTCCTCCCACCGCTGACTTTTGCCGTGGGCAATGATGTTTCATGGAATACCTCTACTCACGGGCATTGTTCCATTTGAGGAGTGCCGTGCTCCTGAAAAATATACATGTGTCCAAAGACTGACATTAGTGGTGTCTTACTCGTTAAAAAATAAGCTAATCGTACACAAAGGACACTTTTTTGAACTTAAGATATAACGAACAGAAATTAATAACAGCAAATGAAATGGCACCATCTGCAGATAATTTCATATTTCTTTGCCAGTGTAAAAAAATGACAAATAAAACTGAAGTGTTTAACCTCTGAAACATCTCATATGTTTGCTGGGAAGAGCTAAGGGAAATTCTATATCCAAGGCAACAATATCCATGAAACTGTTTCAAGAGGGGCTGCTTTTCTGGGTTGTCCTGCATGGACTAAGCAGAAATCAGCTAATCCTAAACAAGGGCAGTTCAAGCGACCTCTCAGCACCCCTCTTTGCCACGTACAACTGTGCTACAACAGGACAGAAGACTACTGAGTCCTCAAACACTTCTGAAAAATGCTGCAAGAACAAACTCTAAAATTCAGTATCAAAAACCCCATTCAGCAAATATTCCAGGAACAACAAAAAAAGTGAAAATTGGCTGCTATAGAGAAAACCAAACAAAACTATTAACCTTCTCCGCACCAGAAAAGTCACCCGCTAGTATGTTTTACTAACAACTCCATAATAAACTATTTTAAGCTCTTATTTTATGTTCTATGAGCCACTAAAAGCAGAAGTATTTTATAGAGCTGTTTTAAACCCAAAGTTGCTCAGAGGAGTAGCTCTGAACTACCTGGTTTCTATACCTTATGTCACCTACCATGATAGAGTAATGGCTCTTACTAAACAGCACTAGTTCTCCAGCACAGCAAATGCAATCCCTTATGTAGTCACAGAAATCTTAGGGGCAGAACTCTTCCCCGATGAAGACGTAAGCAACGATTACCAAAGGTACTGAAAAATCCATCGATTAATTGAAGCTAAAATTTCTGAGGACAAGAGAGATGCTGCTCTTTACAGCAAAGAGCCAATGTGACTGAGGTCAAAGTCTTGCAGAAATTATAAAGTACTGCATGACAGAGGTTTTTGAGTTAAAGAATGCAATTTCATTCATAATTTTGAAGAAAGCTGGTATTTATTTTGTTTTCAGGATCCTTATTTGCATACCTTTAATTTAGTGCCATCTCCAGGATGATAACCTAGAAAGAAAAGCACCTTCAGCCTCTTACCTGTCAATTGTTTGAAAACCAGAACTATTTTAACAAGTGTGTAATGAATTAAAGTCATTATGTCAGCAAAATGACAGCAGAAAGCAAGTAAGTGATAATGCTGAAGTTCTCTGCAGAATTCTGACTTGTTTTCAGGCAGACTCACTATGGCTAACATCTACTCTACGGTTTCAGGAGAACGCTATTGGTACTTCCAAGACACCCTGTCACCCAGCACAGCGACTCCTCTCCATTAGCCTGTAGGAGGAACTGGTACCGTGCAGGCAAAACAGTCGGAATCTGGGTACCTTCTCTCGGAACAGATGAGAGGGAGTTACAGATGAGTTCTGGATTTTATTTGACATCCTTGTGATCTCAGTCATTAAGAACACTACCAAAAAAATAGATGGGACATAAAATAAAAAATGTCACTGTTACACCAAAAGAGATAAGATTTATATTATTTTTACATAGAGAGTTTTGAAATTATGATTCATTTACAGATCCATGGTTTCATATGCTTATCATTATACAGTACCTGGTAGTTTAATTGAAAAAGAAATGGATATAGATGCATGTGTACTGTTCAAAAGGAAATACTGATAAATGTGTAGGTGGTTTCTCTAAGATTTATCTATAAAAACATTGACACGGAAATCCATTTCATTATGCAAAACGGCTGCAGAGGAGAAAATTAGAGATCAAGAGGTAGTAAAGAAAGAACATTACTTCAGTTTTGGTTCCCGTCCCTCATTTGTATATTGCCAGCATATTAGTCCAATCAGGTCATGCACCTTGGCATTTGCTATCGTCACAACTGTCATGGGCTGCAGTTTGTCTTGGCTTGTGTGCAGTGGGAGGTAGACATCAATTTTTTTGGTTGCCGTTGTACCAACATGACCCTGTCGAGAAAATATATTTCATTAGAATGTATAAAAGTATGACAGAGCTAATACAAAATCTGGTGCAGATGGAATTCTTTTCAGTAGAAAGATTAAAATACACTGCTATGACTTAAAATTGGAAGAAGCTTGAACGTTTAAAATTCCAATTCTTTCACTGCTGTTTAATGTTTCTGTAAAAATGATATGAAATATTTGGCAACAATTTCACAGATTTCCATAAAAAGTCTGAACTTCACTGCAAGATCTTGCAGGAGCAAAAAAAAAAAAACCCCAACCAAAAATCCCAAAAAACAAATATTAAAAAGGTGGGATGAGGGGAAGAGAGAACTGACAAGCCTACTTAAAACTTCAAAACCATTTTTCCATCAGCATTTAGTACCAGCATTCCCCTTGTTTCTACACTTCTGCTCTCTTCTGTAGTTCTTTCCCACTACTTGAGGAGCTCACCTCCCTCACGTGCAGAACTACCAACTCACCGAGCCTACAGCTAGCACTCCGCTCTGGTGCCTGGGCACAGGCGAGGCACCTCCTGCGGCAGTATCCGAGCAGCCTGTTGCATCACCGGCTCCTCTAGTTCTGGCACACGCCAGGCTGCCAACGCTACTTGCTTTGCAATGGTCACGGTTCCCTCCAGCTTTGGCCTGGGATTCCCCGCATCCCCTCATCCCGCTCTGTCCCCACGCCTGGACGCACAGTGGGATAAAACGCAGGAAAACTCTCAGCACGCACAGAAGGGGAGAGCGGAGCCTGGCCAGCACGTTCCCAGAGAGGAGGAAAAAGAAGAGCCTACACCGCAGCTGGCACTGGTCTACAGACACGAACCAGCGAGACCTAGACTTGAATCTTAGAGACGCCAACAACCAGAGAGAGCTCAGAGCATGGGTCACAGCCAGCATTCGCACACCGCAGCCTGCTCCTCCCAGGGAAATCAAACCAGGTAACACAACCTCAGCAGAGAACTGTGGCAAAAATGAATGGTGATCATACACGGAGGTTAAGACAATGTTTAAAAATAAACCTTAGGCTTGACCTTGGTTTGCCAAGAGAAGAACAAAATCACGCATTCAACTGAGCCATTAAACTATCTTGAACTATTTGAAGACAAACAAGAAGGATTAACTAATATTGTTTGTATTGGAACTTACTGTATTAAAAAAAAAAATCTATTTGGCACTGTGGAGATTAACAATTAAATAAAACATAAAATACACAGCAACAGAAAGATCTATAAAGTTTGCATTACAAGAAAAAAATGTTTCATCTACTGCGGGTAGGGCTGCATTTTTAAACCAGTAATCTTTTAAAGAGACAAAAGATTGTATATCCTGATCCTCTCTTCAAAAGCACCCCCGCGTAACTATATATCGCTATCTCTCTATATATATGGGTCTTGAGAGAAGAAAGTATTATTCGAATTAATCATTCGCAATTCTAAGTAACAGAATAAAAGGATTCAACACCATAAATCTATGATGAGAGTATAAAACAGGGAGTTAAATGCCACGTGCTAATTTCAATATATTGTTAAAAACCATTTGATTCTTCAGAGTGATTATAAATTAGAGAAATAATAGGAATTTAGAGATTAAAGTTATTCATACTAGCATAGCTAAAAGTATTACTAAAATCCATCCACACATAATAAACTTGTTTTTTAAGAAAGCATTTTCATAGTGCAGAAACCTCCTCTTCCCATGTTTTTAAGATAAGAAGAAATTACTTTTACTCATTTTAAAAGGAAATGTTGTATTTGTAAGAGAATATGGGACATTCCATCCCCTTGTTTGGATGGCGATGGCTTAACAAGCTTCTGGATGAGCTGGCGTGCCTGGGATTCTCCGAGATACTACCCATACTCACAACATACCTCTCCAAGGAAATCATGACACAACAGAACTACAACTGCTAAAAAAATAAGGGTCTATCTGTCTCTCTTGCTTTCTCTTCTTGCTTTCCTACTTACAGGACTTATTTTTAAGGGGAATTAAGCTGGTACCAGGTAATGAACCACCAGGCTCAAAGTCCATCCCTGCCTTTGCCCAGGTGCAGACACCAGCCGGGGGAACACGCGCAGGGCTGTTGTGGTCATGACTGGAGATACCAGCCAGAACTGGAGACCTGTTGTTTCAACTACATTTGCCTTTGAACGAGTAAATAGTTATCAAGGAAATCAATGTGACTCCTTGGCACGCTACGTTAGTTGCATATTTAAATCCAAGGATGGCAGAATCCTAAGTAACGCTTGGTCCTGATAATGGAAAATCCAAGAAAAATTGACAACGAGATGTGAGAGTCGATGCCAAGGTTACCACTGATATACATGGCACAAAACCAGAGAATGGACAAACATGCCACAAACTGTAACTAATAACCAAAAAGACCACATTATTCCATTAGCCACTACTACAAGCACAGACTGTTTTATAAGCTCATAATCCAATAAACACATGTATTTATAAAATAAACACGTCCCAGGGACTCTGATCTTGCAGCTATCACAGATAAGATGGTAACTTTCCTTGTACTACCTCTAGCAGCGCTTCTTTACTGTTTGCCCCACCACTGTGCTGTTGCTTTGGGTTTGTTGTTTCATAAATAAACTTTTCTTGGTTCTTCCCCATCTCTAAATCGCCTCTACCTCCCTCAGTCTATTCTTCCCACCTTGCTTGTCCAAGCTCCCTGCATTACTGGCATCCTTCTTCTCTTACTCACAAACACTCAGCATGAACATCAAGATGAAAGGTGACTTAATCTGTACACGAGTTAGGATTCCAACTGCTCTTGGAGCAAGGGGAGCAATACCAGCAGCAGCACTGGGAAATGCCTCAAAAGCACCACTGTTACACTCAAGATCTTTAAAAAAGTGAAATATTTTTATCAATTAAAAGTGCTTAAAACTAATTGATTGCCATAAGATATTACAGAGGCTGAAACCTGAGATCTGGAAGGTGATTAAACTTTCTGTTAGTACTGCGAACAGTCATCACGTTAGGCAGGAAACATCGGCACGGCCTATAAACACGGGGGTCAAGGCTTAGACTGATCAATCACCACATCAAAGGGGTCTGGAGGAGATCTCTGTTGTGTTTATTGCAAATTGATGATATTTGTTCTCAACCAGTACTGGAAATCCAAACCATCAGGTACCTGTCTACAGGACGGGATGAATCCATATCCTTAGCCTGATCCTGCCAAACATTGTGTAGGAAGTCCCAGAGAGCTCAATTACTTACCTGGGCAAAGCGCATCAGGGACGGATTTGTAGGTGGTGGGACTGAATAAAAGAGATCCAATTATTAGTCTCGGTGGCCACGAGTCAACGTGCTAGCCACGCTGGACTCAACTTGTAATAACTTGGGGGCTTTATATGGTGTTTTAGTCACTTCTTCAGGAGAAATCATTCAGAACCAGATTACAGACACTACTGGAAGCATAATTACTTTTTTCTCCCAACTAAAAATTGTATTCCAACTGTAAATGCTGAGGAGACCCAGAAGATAAAGTACAATTACCTATATTCAAAAAGGCAGCATCAAACTTTATTAATAGATCCTGTATAAAATTCAATGGAAAATCTATTCAGGGCCAGGGGCCTTACCATTTGGAGTTTCCTTAATAGCCTCCAATAAATCTGGGAAGCATAAAGGGGCTGTTAAATTAACATTTTCCTGATCTGTCACCTGTGGCATAGTTAATTTGTCAAAAAATTCTTTTAGCTTGTCACTGGACACTGTATATTCTGACAAATGAAGTCTGGAATAAAATTGACAAAATATCTCGTTAATTTTCTAGGAAATCACAAATCTGATTCCATTAAGCTTTTATTGTTAGAAATGTTATATTCCACTAATCCTTTAAGGAAGCAAGGAGTAACTCGATATACAGAAAATATACAATAAATCAGAAAATTTTCTTAGTATTTTTATTAATGGATTCTCTTAAGGCTACCTAGTGTTCTCCTACAGCCTGATCTTATGAAAATTTCCATTTGCTATTTCTATAGCATTTTTATCTCTCTCAAAGCAAAGATGATGTTTCATCATCTGCAGCTCATTGGAGGAGACCAATCCTGTGTACACTGCACAGCGCCAGAAAGGGTAAAGGACAGGGCCACTATTTCCCAAATTATTGCTAATGTGGTGTGCACATAAACAAAACTTTTTTTTATATTTCCCTTTTCTCTCACTCTGTCATCAGAATTCTCGGTGGTCGGCACATCGTAGTTCTTTGGCACATTACAGCTATTCTTTTCTGCTGCTTTTCAAGAGCTGCACAGAATTATGTCCGTTATTTGACATTGCTGAAAAGTACAGTCTGCTGAATTCACACACTTTCTGCTTTCTATTTTTTATAATTTAAATTAAGCAGATGAATGTATATTTATGCACTTTGAAATAAACAGCGACTAAGCTTAGGAAAGTTATTGCCATTAATAAACAAATCTCTTCTGAAAGAACAACTTGGTATCTAAGACTAGTGCTCCTGTGAAGCCATGCTTCTCGTGCTGTCTAAAATGAAGATGGTCACAAAATAACACAGCAATATTTGGGGATATATAATAACAGCAGTCGGGCTAATTACAAGAACATAAGTAGCACCAACAGCATGTACATATGTTGCTGGTACTTCTAGATACAAGAGTATGAGGGAAGGATATGACAGGAAACTCAAATGATGAATTTTCATGGATTGTCTAGGACTGAATTTGCAAGCTGTGGTGTTTAATTATACAGAGACTGGTTACTACAATTATGACAGGAAAACTGCATACAGAATGATCTCCATTGGCTACATACAATTATAGAAACATCCGTACCACTAAATAATGTTCTCTAATAAAATCAATGTGCTTTAATATAAACATAGTATGTTAAATTAAAAAAGAAAAAAACCCCTATTTAAACTCTATCAATTCTTTCAACACAAGAAGGCTTTCTAAGATTTAAAATCAACTTTTAATCAAAGTCCATGAGAAAATATATACCTCCCTCCAA